AATCTTAGTGTTCTTTGTTTTTTTTTTGTCGTGTTTATTTGTTTACAAAAAATCATTTCAATATTATAACAAATATGAAGGAATAAAATACAAGAGGATTTTTGTGAAAGAAAAACCTGATTATCTAACTCTTTACGCTTACTATAAATAGCGATAGATACTCTTACAAAAGAAAACTAAATAAAGTAAAAATCAACTTTAATAAAGTTGTGTACTTTTCATCAAAATATGATTATTACTTTTCCAATTTTAAACATTAATTAATTTGTGCCACCTTGAATTCGAGTCAAACTCTAATACTTTCCTTTTATGAAGAGGTTTGAATGAATGAACATGTCTCTTTGAAGTAACTTTTGGATGGAACATCATACCTTGATAGTATTGTAAATAGCATACAATTTCACCCATATTCTAAGCTTATTTATTCCTGAGTTGTGCACGCCATATCATTTGTCCCCACATTTATTGCTATCACATTTAGAGTTAAATGTTGTTGTATTATATGTTTTGTATTTTTTTTTATTTTGCACTTTTAACTCATTTTCTCCTTGGTTGTATTATAAATGGTCGAAATACCTGTGACTGATACATTTGTCTTAGCTTTGATGAAGTATGAACATGTTGTTACTTTGGCCAAAGAACACATTTTCGTCTAATTCAACTCGAAGAAGCATGTGGCCGCAATTGTCGAATGGAGAACTGATATTCTAGAGTTCATGGGGTTATGATGAGTTGTCTTATCTTCTAGAAAGATGTTGAGATGTCCCTATTATAGAAGTTGTATGGATAGCCACACAGGAGGTGTGAAGATGTAATGTGATCGCAATTGTTGAATAAGTTGATCACATCCAAAAATGTAGGCGCAATGGACAATTGTCCAAGTTTCTAGAGAAATCTAAAGGACGATGAGTTGTATATTGGGACGGCTAAGATCACACCAAAGGCATGAGGGGACAACTAGAAAAGGAGCTATAAAAGGGACTCTTCATCCTACCTAAGAAAAATCTTCTTCTCCCCAATTTTTTCTTCAAGCTTTCCTCTCCATGGCCATGGAGCACTAGCCTTTTCAGAGCAACTCGGACGACCAAGAACACCAGTATGGATTGCGGGAGTAGTCGCGCATCACACTGAGCTACAAGGATTTTTTTCTTAGCATCTAAATAGGAATATTATTTGCTTAGATTAGACCTCGTTTAAACTCTTTTGTTTTGATTATCATATGTTTGTGTTTTTTTGTGAACGAAAATTACCTTAAACATGTTTTGATTTGCTATCTATTTAATCTTCCTTTGTTTGATTTAATATGTTGATTTGGGGAAGTAAAGATATGGAAGTGTCATTACGGTGACACTCTCTGGGCGTATTTTCTTTCGGCGAAAGTCACTCAAATAAAAACGGAAGTTGGACGAGTTGTGGGCATAGTGAATAAAGTTTATAGCCCAGAAGGAAATGATACTACTATATTGGGCCTCAACAGATATCAAAAAGGTACTATATTAGGTAGAATTACATGTGCTTCTTAGGATTAATAATCAGAATATTTTATCATTGTAAAAACTAGGTTCTTTTTCTTTTGCAATCTCTCTCTACGAATTCTATAACCGACAAGTATGATAGATATGGACAACCAAAAAGTGTTATCTCAATTTGTTGTGCAATTTTAAACAACATTTATAAGGTGGACATTAAGTTCTTTGATTTCATTATGTGTTTGCAGATATAGAACATTACTGTAAAGGAATTACAAGTTATAAAATGTGAGAAATTGAGAGAATATAAAGGAAGTAATTAATAGAAGAAAAATAAAACTTCTAATCAAAATTCGCATTCAAAAATAGGCGTATCCGCTCATTGTTTAGGGTGAGTACGTGTTGGTCTTCGGTAAGATCTGCAGTTTCTTTGATGGCTGACGTTGTCGTTTCTCAACGGTCATCCAAGAACCGAACATCAGTTCATCTTTCTTGGTAGCATCATCCGCTTTCGGGTTCATGGTTTCCTCTTGCTCTTGGGAAGGTGAAGCACGGGGACAATAGTCTTGTAAGTGATCGTATTTTCCATAATTGAAGCAGATTAATAGAAGATCTTCATATTCTACTATCTGGATCCTCCCATTGACAAGAAGTTTGGAACTAAAGGCTTGTTTAGATCAATATTTATAGCCATACGTACGAATCGAATTGGTAATCCAAATGAATACCAAGACATTCCCCGATTTCAATAATAATGTTGCCCTTGTATATGGTTGTTGGCAGACCGGGTAAACGGATCCAAGTCATGATCTTTTTTGGATAAGGATTTGTTGTCGAGAATTCCTCTGTCCATGTTTCGACGGTAAGGTAGTGTCTAAAAATTGTCCATGGTCCATCTACAAGATCTCGAGAGTGAAAATTAGCAAGGAAATAATCGTTTTCAATATCCATAAGTTTGATTGCTAAATTTGGTTTCTACAGTTCATAGATCTTTGATTTCAAGGTGCTGTAGCCGATGCGACGCCCAAGGAGTTGGAGAACCACCGTCTGATCCAGAGATTTTGCTGCTAAAGAATTGATTCGGTCAGAAAAATCGATTGAAATTAGACCATCAATCATGTTGCAAACAACTTTGCCCTCCTGGATCTCGATGTCTTCATCGTCGAGAATATATTCATTGAAACTATGATGAACATAGGTATTATTCATGAGGGAGGCTTTGTATGACAAGGTTTGCTACTTGTTTCAGCTTGTGTCATTGCTTCACCAAGATTTCCTTCACCAGTGTAAGGAGTATCAGCCGCAACAGTGGATGGAGGGATCTCCATCGGGATTGCATCATCGATGGGCATAGGGGATCCACCTTCATCTGGTGGATCAGCATCTTGACGTTTAGGTTTTTTAAGGTCGGAGATCGTCAGAAGGATCAGAGGGAATAGCCATCAAGTCAAATCGATTACCAGATTTTACTAACTCAAATTTTGATAACTTATTTTTAATTTATAACTTAGCTACTGTTCTTTGATTTATTAATAATAAAGTTATTTTATAATAAATTTTTATTTTGAGAAAATAAAAAACAGTTAAATTCTATAATTACTATGCATAAAGTTGTAGTGGATTTAGCGATTTTACTTTAATTTGATTATTTTTAATATGTGTTTTTTAAATTTTAAAATGTTGATCATGGTCCAAATAACAATTGTAAAATTTGTTAAAATATAATTTATTATTAGTCCTTATATTATACATAAATTGTTGATCTAGTTTTTATTCTCTAATTTTATGAATCTTGTTGTCTAATTATATTTTCTTTGTATTGTATTATTTGAACCATAATTAAAATTTTAAAATTTTAAAATTTTAAAATATAATGTATTATTTTAAACTAGAGATTTGACCAATAAAAAATATAATTTCCATAAAAAAGAGTAATTGTACCACATGTCCCCAAACTATAACCCTCATTTTAAATTGGTTCTTAAAATTTTGGAAATTTTAATTCCATCCCTGTTGAACTATATTTTGATATAACAATTAAGGCAAAATGTTTTTGGACTTGAACATAATTTATTCAAAGTTTTTCAAAGTTTTCAAAAATAATTCAAAGTCCTTAAAGCTTTGAATTGAGCACAAAATGTTTTTATGGACAAGTAGTACTGATATTGTTCTTACAGTATCGATACTTAATGAACAATATCGATATTGCTCTTATGGTACCGATACCAGAGGTAAGGGAAGTATCGATACTCACTAGGTAGTACTGATACTACCAGCATTGCTAAAATTCTAGAATGCAAAAATAGTACCGATATCCAAAGGGATACCAATACTTTTATGTATAGTAGTATCGATACCATAGGTATACTATCAATACTACCAGGCTCCAACGGCTAGTAACGACTAGTTGATTTAAATATAACAAAGGTAGTACCGATACTCCTTTTAGCAGTATCGATACCCTCTGTTCAGGGCAACTTTATTTTGCACAAAAATTGATCACCAACGGCTTCAAACCACCTCCAACGGCTAGAAACGACCACAACAACATTCCAACATATAAATACAAGTTGTGGACACTTGAAGAAGAGTTAGAAACACCTATCCAAGCAATCAAACAAAAGAGAAGAGTTTTTCATTCTTATTTTCATTTCTCTTGTAAATATTGTGTTTGTGTGAGCTTAAAATATTGTAAACACCTTCCTTTTTAGAGGTTTTATTTGTTTACATTATTTTTCCTTGTAAAGAGTTTTTGGTTCTATCTTAGCCAATTCAAAATATAGGGAGTTGTAAATGTTATATCTTTATCCTTAAAAAATAAAGAACAAATTAGTGAATTTGTTAGAAAATCCTTACTAAGGAGCTAAGATAGTGGATGTAGACTTTTTTGATAAGTCAAACCACTTTAAATCCTTGTGCCAAAATTTTCTATCTTTTGCTCTCCTTACTCCCTAATCTAAATATTTTCAATTAACCCCTTTTTCACCTTTTCAGTTTTCAATTTAAGACTCTTCAAATCCCAACAACCCCTAAACTATTACTCTCATTTTAAATTAGTCCTTAAACTTTTGAACATTCAAATTTCATCTCAAATTCTTCCAAATTTGTAACTAGTTTCAACCATAGTTTAACTTAAAATTTGTTTTTTTCAAACATATAATAATATAATTTGGCCTTACGATTTTATTATCAATGGATCTGATTAGTATATACGTATATTTTGTAATGAAATTAGAATGTTCAAAAAGTGTGAGGACTAATTTAAAATAAATATCATAATTTAGGGATAAAATTAGAATATTTAAAAATTTAAAGATTAATTTAAAATGATAATCATAATTTAAAGATAAAATTAAATTATTTAAAAGTTTAGGGATGAATTTAATGGGTCATAAATTATCGGTAAGAAATCAAATCAAATTATGGGCTTTGGAGCTCAAGAAGGCAAAGTAAAATCCGAGACTGGATTCGGATCTTTAAAACGGGCCAACAAGCTAGGTTGATATTATTTCTTTTCTTCTAATCCGCAAATCGAGAAACAAAAACCTAAATCCTAAACCCTTGTCAAATTCCAAAGAGGAAAGACAATGGAACAACACGAAGAGCAAGAGCACGAAGTGTACGGAGGGGAGATCCCAGACGAGGAAGGAGAGATGGACGCCGACATCGATATGTCTGCTGCATCTGAAGGTTACGAAGGCAACGACCAAGAACTCAAACAAAATCCAAATTCTAATTCCAAGGTTTCCCACTTTCTTTTTCTTTAGCATTCCTTAGCTTTACTTTAACTTTTTCTGATTGAAAGTAACCCTTTTTTATGAATGATTTTAGGACTTGGAAGAAATGAAGAAGAGACTTAAAGAAATCGAGGAAGAGGCCGGGGATTTACGTGAAATGCAGGCCAAAGTCGAGAAGGAGATGGGGGCTGCCCAAGGTTCTCTATCTTTCTCGCTCGTTCTTTTAGCCTTTTTTTTTGAGGGGAAGGGTTGTGTTTTATCTGAGTTTTGGGTATACTTTTTCTTAACAATTTGTGTATTTGCGTCCGTTACAAAATAAGAAACAAAATATCTTGGTTAATTTTAAAAAAATAAATAAAAAGTCTTTGTTAATAGTTTTGATTTTTTGCCTTTTGAATCATGGTTTGTTTATGCGTCTGAATTGTTGTTCTCTAGTAAATTTACTTGGTTTTTTTTTTGCCTTCTTTCACTGGGATGTATAATGAAGATTCCCCGGGTGCTTCTGCTGCAACCCAACCTGAAAAGGAGGAAGTTGATTCCCGTTCAATTTACGTTGGTAATGTGAGGTTTATCAACCCTTTTCTTTCCATTAAATATCTTGATGATCAAAGTTCATTTATAAGTGAAGCTAAAATCATGATTATGCCTTAGTATGGCCAAAGGATGTAGGAAGAGTTTTACCAGTTTGATCTTTTCAACCCTATTTTGTCTTATGCTTGTATTGTGTGGCTTGAAAATGCTGTGTTTTGTGCATGTGGATGGACAGTTTAATCTTAGTTAGTACAGATGAAAAGTTCAATTTGGTTTTAACAAACTTGATCTATAAGAAGTTTGCAACTTTTTCAAGGGAAACATTAATTTGGTTTGCCGTATGTTGTTTTACTTTTTGTGACTTCTTTGAGTAATGTATAGACTGTGTGGGTGTACAAATAATAAATGATCTCAAAGTTTTATACTATTACTAAAATATTTATCCGGTGCATGTGAGCAAATGACAGTAGATGTCAGTTAACTCTCTGATTCTTTATACATCTTTGTAACAACAGGTAGACTATGCATGTACACCTGAGGAAGTTCAGCAGCATTTCCAATCTTGTGGAACTGTGAACAGAGTGACAATTTTGACCGACAAGTTTGGTCAACCTAAAGGATTTGCCTATGTTGAATTTGTTGAAGTTGATGCTCTTCAAAATGCTCTACTGTTAAATGAATCAGAATTGCATGGTCGTCAGTTGAAGGTTTATAATTTGATCTGTGTGGATTATTACTTAATGAATATAAGCTACATGATACAAAAGTGTGTTTGGTTTATTCTCAGGTGTCTGCAAAACGAACAAATATTCCTGGATTGAAACAGTATCGAGGAAGGCAACCCAACCCATATTTCCGTTCCCGAAGGCCTTTCATGCCTGGTCCTGTTTTCTATCCTGCATATGGTTATGGGTAAGCCTAGAAATATGTTCTCTCGGTTGGCTGTTTGATAGGGAAAAAGGAGGATGACTAGACTTGCTTTGGTTTCTCTGCGTGTTAGTGGTCCACCATTGGTTTTGCAATAATGTATTGGATAAGATATTTTTGCTGCTTTATGACCTCTTGTTATTGATTGTATCAACTTGATTGACCTCATTTTCAGGAGGGTTCCAAGGTTCAGGCGGCCCATGAGATACGGGCCATATTAAGATCTTCACACAGTCAGAAGCTGCAATTTCGAGAAGATCATTACATGTAGTTTAAAATCGTTCTGTAGCAGGGAAGGAGGATGGTGAACTGCAATTTGCTTGGAAAAGGGCCAGCCGGATTTTCTTTGCTTAGGCTTTTAGTGGAAGGGGGTAAATGAGGCAGAGATGCATATTAATGTTATTGTTTAATATTATTTCAGAAATTCGGGTGGTAGAATGAATATTTAAGATTGTGGATGTGGATTAGTTTAAATTGTTGGGGTCGGCTACATAGGCCATAATGCATGGGTTTCGTATTGAAGTGAACTTAATAGAGGGAAGGAAGCTTAGAAAATTACATGATCGCATGAGTGGGAGAGAATTTCCATTCAAAATTTATCCAGGAGAGTCGGATTGATTCTGCTGGATTATTATCATCTCTCACTCTCTTAAAGTACATATTAGTGTTTTTGTTGTTTTAGATGATTGGCAAAATGGATTTACAGCATGAGTGCATGCATGTTGTCTGGTTCGGTTAGGCTTCATTCTTCAAAGTTGGGAAAAATTATTAAAGAATATGTTTTTTCAGATGTTGGATAAAAAAAACTTTATATACCAAAATCATCTTTTTCTTCGTTGCTTATTACGGTTGAAGTGTCTTCAACTCTAAAAAGCTTTTGGGTAAATTACACTCATGATCATCTAACTATAGAGGATTCTATTTTGATCATTGATCTTTCAATTTTGTTCAATCAAATCACTTAATCATTTAAATTTTGTTAGCCAAGCCCTGTGTTGATGTTACAGTTAAAAATGGTATAATTGCAACAATTTAATCATTTGGTTCTCATTATTTGTCAATTCAATCAATTTAATCTTTTTTTTGTTTAATTTAATAAATTTAAGAATTTAATTAAATTGCAACATGTGCCACTATTAGATTCAAGGAAAAACTTATTTAATTAAATAAAATAAAATAAAGATAAAAACTCTTCAATTAGGTGGTGATATGAGTCACTATTTGATTGAAGAATTATTTTTTTAATTAAATTAAAATTAGAATTGAATTAATTAAATGTATAAATAATAAAAATTAAATGTATAATTATATTAATTTTTTAACCATCACATCTTTTTCATTAAATATTAAAAGTGGGTGATTTGATAGATAATATTTAAATAATAAAAATAATGTGATTGAGAAGACCTGAAATAGATTATTGAAAATCTTTCCATAAATAAACAATTAAATCTATAGTTTACTCAATTTTTTAAAAGCAGTGAAAGGCTAGACCGTATCTGTCTAATTGGATAGATCTAATTTCTTTAGTTATTATTATCCAGTGTAACAGATCTTTAGGTTAAATTTGAGATTTTTTTTTTTAATTTGAATTCGAGTAAAAAAGGTGAAGAATAAAATATAAATTTTTATATGATTTGAGTCATAAATAAGTACGAACGAAGTTAAAAAAGTTAGATTATGATATTACAATTTAATAAATTTTATAAAAGGGGATTTTTAAAGTCATAAAGATAAATTACAGATGTCAGTTTTTTTTTTAAAATATATTTTTAAAGTGACATTGTTTATATTAACTTTGTTTTAATATTTTTATAAAAAAATAAAATGAGTTAGAGATGTCGATTGAAATCCTTTTATAAAACTTGCTTAATGTAATACTCTAATCTGATCTGAGGATTAAAGCATTATACGAAACTATCGAAATGACTAATCCAAAATTTTCTTTTAAATCGTCATCACCGTTATTTGAAATCACGTAATGAAAACATAAGCATATCAAGTTTATAAAAGCGGGAAGCTCCCGAATACATCCCAAAATAATATCACAATAATTGTATCAAAATAAAGTTACCACTCGAATATACATAGGTCTATAAACTCAAGACGTATTCTGATGCCTCAAATGATCTGGAACACAAACTAGGCGATAAACTCCTCAACGATCCACCTAAAAACCTATTAGTGTCACACAAATAACTCCACTGTACTACATATATTCATCATGTGGGCATACTAGTAGGTGTGAACATAAGCACACAAGAAAATTAAACACATCAACTAAGATAGGTATCATGGTATGTTTGGATGGTTTACTGCATCTCAGGACTCACACCCTTCTAACCTACCTATGGTATCATCTGATATCTAGATTGAGATCTGAAATTTCTACATCACAAACATACACCTAGCTAACTTACTCCTTGTGAGTAATCGTGGCGTCTGTACCCTACTAGCAATTTAAGTGACTTGGCACTAATTGAGATATATCCGGGTATTTCTAAACAAACAAGATGATCGTCATACTTACTAAAGCAACTCGAGTGTCCTTGGTGTTTCCCGAGAGTCACACAATGACATAAGTTTTATGGCTTTTTAATTCATAACATTCTTATGCTTATAATGTACTTATTTATTGTTCTCAGTGGTCCTAAACCCTTCCCAACCCCGTAAACTAAAGTTAGGCTTCTTTTTCAATTCAATTTGATGGTGCTGAAAACCCTTTAGTTCGATACCAACCTTCCAATATCGACACTCACCCTTGATATCAACACTAATTTTACATTCGATATTTTGACAAAGCCTTATAGTATCGATACTCTTATATAGAGTACTAGTACTTCCCTCTTAGGGTATCGATATCAAATTTAGATTCAATGTTTTAGAGAAAATGATTTAGTATCAATACTCTTACTCAGAGTAATGATACTTATTCTTCTTGAGGTATCGATAATGCCTAAGTATTGGTATCGATTTTGACTACTAGAATTTGTAATTTAACGATAGTACCGATAGCTCACCATCTGATATCGACACTTGAAGACTAGTATTGATCTCTATGAATAAAGTATCGATACTACCCAGGCAAAAACCCCTTGTTTTGGCTATATGAAGAATAATATTGGTATTGTTCATCTAGTATTGATACTCAAATCTATAAATACTTTGGTTTATACAAAAGTGGCAACCCCAACTCAACCCTTAAGCCCCTCTAAGGTCCTTAAACATTATTTAGAAGCAAATATGTCCCGATGTGTGTAATCTCTACAATGGAAGAATGGCCCTCGCTGTTAGCACAACTCTTCTCTCAAAACTCAAAACAACACTCGAATAGGTTTATAAAAACTAAAGAGAGTGTTTCTAAAGCAAACAATTTGCTTAAGGATGATTTCTCTTGAAGTGCATATGAAATGAAAAATGAAACATCCCATTTATAGGCTCAAAATAGGAGTAAAATGATAAAAGATCCAATAACAGTTACAAAATAATTAATTGTTATAAACATTATTCTAAGAACCATAAAATATATTAAATATTTTGTAACGAATATAAACGATAAAATAAACTCTGATAAATAATATTTTACTGGAAGGATTTTGTTTAAAAAGAAACATATATTAACCTAATTGGACAACGCCAAACGATTCATACCCACTGTGAAATTATTTGTATTACCAACATTCCCCATTGATACAAAAGAATTATTTTATAAAAAATAGAAACTTGGAGTCAAAACACGAGAAGAGTAATAGCGAGATTAGTTGCTTAAGCACTAGTGAACGTATCTGGAACTAGTATGATGAGTAATTCTTCTTTTAGATAAGTGAATAAATCTTGAACTTTCTAAGATTAGGGTGAACGCATAACACAGAAGTAACGTCTTCATCTACCGAAGTCCTTAATGTGTCTACAAAGTATATATATGAGTGTATATATATAGCCCTCTTTCATCATGATTCTAGTAAGTGTACTAGAAAAATGACCCCATGTTTTTCATAGAAGGTGGCTAATCCTTCTCACTTACGTAGGTTATTTCATAAGGTTTATCTCAACACAAACCATCCGAAATTGGGCTATAAAATCATTAAGAGATTTTACAACAACTCAACCTCACAATAGGTATGGTGAATTTCTTTAAGTTCATTTATAAATAAACCACCCAAACTGTGGGATAAGAAATTATTAAGAATAAATATTCAAACTCATTAATAGGTGAATTCAATATGTCCTTCTCACTAGGAACACCCAAACTCTTAGGTTTGAACCCTCCTCTCTAGTGATAAGTTCATCTAGTCCTTCGCGATTAAGACTATCCACTCAACACTGGATTATGAACTTATTAAGAATATATATTCAACAAAAAATTGCTAAATTAATCAAGCCTTTCTCACTAAGACTACCCAAAGCCTAAGCTATGAATTTATTAAGAGCAATTAAGCTCATCCTGTGTATGTACATTATTCGTCATAGGGATATGTATCCACTATGAATTTCTCAACCAGTGGGCTTTAGACCCATCCCCCTGACGAATCAATAACCAATTTTTGACTTTAACCTTTAGTAAGCATATCAACTAGGTTCCTCTCTAACTTTAATCATCATTTTAAGACAACCCTATATTTCTAACATTTTAAGGTTAGAAATAAATCCATAAGTATCTTGGATAACGTGTAAACAAATCCTTTTGCAAATTTACTCATTCATACGTGAGTAAAGTTTGTTATTAGTTTTAACCATAAAACTCTAATTTAACAAACTCAAATTTTGTTTACACATGATTATATTCTCAAAATTTTGAGAAGTTACTAATAATTACGATTATTATGCATAATCTCAAACGATCATGAAATTCCTTATATCTTATCAGTAGTCATTCTTGACTTTTTCTCATTCAAAAAGAATTTAGTTTTCCTAATTTTTCATAAGAAGTGTTTAGGAAATTATGAATATTATGAGAATGTTTATTAGAAGTTTTCAACTTTTCCTAACAACAGGAAAATTATCTCAAGTTAAGAGATTTCAACATAAATCCTGAGATAAATCATCTCTTCTATTTCCTCTACTTAGGAAAATTATTCAGTGAGATTTAAAGCTACAACTAAGTTTAGTAACACTATTGTCTATCATTTTTTATTCATAATATTCAATATATTAGCCTTAAAGAAATCATCACATATTTTATTTACTATGACTAAATTTGGTATTCTACAATACCAATTTAATATATACTCTTTTAGCTACTACACTAAGTTTAAAGAGAGTTTAACTTGTCATAGTATTTTATAAAATTGAAATAGTGAGCATAGTAATGAACAATGCACCAGGTAAGTTTCTGTGAAAGAAAGGTGACGTACTAGGCACGCTTAAGTACCAGGTCTTTGTAGAACCAATCCTAGACAAACACCTTCATACTCATACTTTCAATAAATCATTTATGAATTTTCTCTTTCTTAAGGCTTCTTAAAATAATTATGCTTTATACTTTTACTCACAATAGTAACTTATTAAGCACACACATTTTGAGCTCACTACTACCTTAGTCTTAGCCTTAGCCTTAGTCCTTATACTAGTGGTTTATCTCAGTCTATAATATATCTACTAAGTTTTGTAAAGACTACCTTAAAAGGGTCATTTATTTAAAAGAATGAATTACCATGCAACAAGACTAAATCATCCGACCTTACAGATAGAATAATAATTCCCAAATAGACGTGGTCACTCTCATCATGCTTACAACTTCAATCTTTGCATCAT